CCTGCCTGGGATCAAACACTTGACTCTCACTGTGAGCTTTACACCACTCAGTCACGATGTCAACAGTTTCTATTGATGTGTGAGTGGGACAAGCTGAGGTTACCTGATGCAAGCCACTGTCCCGATGGAGACACACTGATAGAGCGAACCAGACCGCTGTGACCTCGATAGACCTGAACACACAGATAAAAGATGTGAGAAAGGGTTCGCCACTTTGTTTGTGTGCATGTGTTCAGGTGTGTGTGCTGTACCAGCGACTGTGTGGTGGGAAATGGCTGAAGGTCCTTTGGTTTGGGAAGTTGGGGAATCAGATCCTCTGGATTCACATTCACCTACATGCAGACAAACAGGAAATTATTTCAACCGCATGCCTAACAGGGCAGCTCCAGCTTTAGGTAGTAGGACAGACTGAGAAAGGTTACCCTCATCTTCCTCTGTCGTGGGCACAGATAAAGGTCGAGGCAGCGCTCGAACCTCTCGTGGATGAAATGAGAAAATGCTGGAACCTGACGGAGGCTCGAGTACTTCCTTGGAACAAACGGCAACTTTCTGTCTACTGGATCCTGTTGCTCCCACAGTGCTCGCTGCAGACAGGTGAGGCAAGTGAGGACAGACAGATGGGAGGGAAGAAAAATGTGTTTTTGAATGCAGTTCTATCCTCTGAACAGAAACCAGGTGAGGCAACGCATTGACAAACCTCCTCGTCAGTAAACAGATACTCGGGCGGTGGGTTGTAGGACTCATGGTGACCAGGTAAAGGGATTTTGGGGGCGGGCAGGTGCATCCTATGTCTGGCCAGAATGGAAGAGTCCTCGCTGGTCCACAAGTCGTAATACCGCCCCCTGCCATCATCCTCTACCCGCCTGGGTTTGATCCAACCCATTTTTATGGCATGGACCAGTTTGGACACCTGCAGACAGGCGAGTCAGACAGGTGAGTTACAGACAGCTGAGAACAGCCAGGTAAGCCAAGAGAGTCAGGTGCATTACCTTCTCCTTCTCTGTGAGCGAGGGGATAAAGCTGCGTTTGTCTGCAGGTCTGTTGGTGACGGGATGAATCATCACGTCGCTGCTGAAGAATTCTGCCATTGGCTGCGGAAGAGGAGTAAAGAGACAGGTAGCCAGCGTGTTCTACATTTTTAAGCCACACTCACTTCTTGCTAGCTGGTCTGGGACATGTGGTTACTAAAGGGTGGATCAAGCAGGTAAATGCGAGGCTAGTGAACGGAACTCCGGTGTCACTCTGTGAGGGAATACCTCGTACTCATTGAAGTTGACATCTCCAAACTGTCCTCTCTGCAGACGGTTCACCAGCTCCACCTGATCATCGGACAGCACGACGTCACTTCCTGTCTGCTTGTCATGCACCGTTCTCCTGCAGACAGCAACCTGTTAGCTTCATCAGCATTCCCTATCAAACCTATGAAGAAGTTAGCATCGTGCTAACTGCTCACCAGTACTCCGGGTTCTCCATCTTATCCAAGAAGTCATCAAGCTCATCCTTGTTCCTTATTGGCTTGTAGATTTTTTTCCCATCCAGATTGTACCCAACGTGAGGGAAATCTTTGTACCACTCCATAGGAATGTTCCCCACTGTGTTCCTGATATCCTGAAGAACAATGTGAGCATGAGAAACCACCACAGGATGGAGAGGGGAACATAAAAGAAGCAAATGCATCAATCAGAACATGTGTAAAGAAACATGTATCCTGTACAAAACATGTTGTATTGTAGCCACTTTAACAGGAACGCTGACAGGGGTTTGTCTTAGTTATGCTCACATATATCACAAGGCAAATGTTGATTATGTTAAATTTGATTATGGATTTAACAAGAGCCAAAGAAGAGAAGCCAGTACGGGAGAAATATACTCTCTCTTTTTGGTCCCTGTAAGTTTTCTTACTGTAGCATTTTGGAACGATTGAAGGCTTTTCAGGGAGTTTTTAGGACATCCTGATAATAATGAATTACAGTAGTCCAACCTATAAATAATAAATGCATGAACTAGTTTTTCAGCATCACTCTGAGACAGGATGTTGCTAATGTTAGAGCTATTGAATAAAGCAGTGTTTAATGTGCAGGAAGGACATAATTTTGTTTTGTTTTGGTAAAACACCGGTCCTGTCTGGCAGGCATGATCTGAATGCGTTGTTGTACCAAATACATTTGTTTTCAAAAAAATAGCACTATGGATTCTCTGAAGGCTCTCTTGTTAATCGTTTTTCTTTTAGTATTAATAGTATTATTTTTATGGATATTATGTTGGGTCAAGGCCAGGTTGGTAAAAGACAGAAGAAAGCCGCTGAAGACCCAAGGCCACACATTCCGATGACAACCGTGTGTCTACTCCAACCAAGGAACTATGGACAGAGCTCCCACAGTCAAGGGTAGGTGTGACAGGGGTTAGAGGCAGCGGGTGGATGGCCACCCAGCACAAGCTATGGGTGGGCCCTAAATCCCAGACCCCTTGAGAATGGCACGACACCTGGGGGAGCCCCCACCGTGCAACAGAGAGCCCCCCTCCAATGACCAACGGGAAACAACAGGGAGTGGAATGCCTGCCCGCCCCCCTCCCAAAAAACAATGTCCCAGAGGGACCGAGGCTCAGTGAGCCAGAGACACAGACCGAGCCACACACACAAACTGCAGTACCCACAGTGGGTACTCCACCCTTTTCTGACTGAGGACCATGACTTTGGACGTTGATTCTCATCACAGCCTTTTCAGGCTAATAAAGGTCAACATCGGGTGAAACAGAGAACTCTGAGCTTGACCAGGAGCAAAAATCTCCCAGCTTTTTATTAGTGTACATGTGGCTAAAATTGCATACAATACACCAGACACAAGCATAAGAAAAGTAATGACAAGCACACAAATGAATAAGTTTAGATCACCTCTTCATCTGAAGAATCGTGTTCATACTCATCTTTCTTCTTTTCTTCACTCCCTTCTCCCTCTTTCTTTTCCTTCATCTACAGATGGAACAAAGTTCAGGTGATGTTCTGCAGCAGAACACTGAGGACACTTTTAACAGCAACCAATCAGCAGTCAGACCAACACAGAGACTTACCTGCTTACACTTTACCTTGTCGTCATCAGATCCCTCTTTCTCATCGTCATCAGATCCCCCTTTCTCATCGTCATCAGATCCCTCTTCCTCATTGTCATCAGATCCCTCTTTCTCATCGTCATCAGATCCCTCTTCCTCCTCAGAGTCACTCCCAGAATCCTCCAGTCCTGAGTAGACACTGTCCTCGCTATCTGATAAATCATCATCCTTATCTTCATCAGCAGGTTTCCTGTTAAAGTTGAAGATCTGAGAAGGAAAACGCAGAATTACTCAATTAAAAAACCATCAGTTTTTTGCTGAGATTTCCAAGAAGAGTGTAATTAAAGAGCAGAAAAATAAAACCTATGAATCATTCGCACAAGCTAATAGCATGTGCTAATGATTCTGTGAGTGATCACACACACTTAAATCAAACAATAACCAGCAACTAAAAGCAAAACATGTCAAATCAGGATAAACTTATGTACTCTACTCAGGACTGACGTCACTCTGTGCAACCCTAACCGTACACATGTACTCTGACACACTACCTGCTGCAGTGCTCGTTCCGTCACAGTATGTCTGTGAAGGTTCTCAGTCATCCAGGTGATCGTAGTCAAAGGAGCTTGGAAAGAAAAGCGTCTGGACTTCTTTAAGTTGTTTGAAGACGTTTCACCTCTCATCCGAGAAGCTTCTTCAGTTCTATTTGACCATTTGACCTTAGAACTGAAGAAGCGTCTCGGATGAGAGGTGAAACGTCTTCAAGCAACTTAAAGAAGTCCAGACGCTTTTCTTTGCAAGCTCCTTTGACTCGTTCCGTCACAGTTTTACTGCCATTTACGTCACTGCTTCCATGTTGGATCGTTAGCTCTGGGTCGGTGAGGTTGCTCCAACAATACGAGTTAAAATCTGAGTTGAGAAGGTCTTCCTTTTTCAAACTCCGACATTATAATGGAGCCCTAACCCGAGACTGACATCACACATGTGCACAGAGGATAGTTCTGTGTTTATTATAGAAGCAGCAACGCCCCGGTCCGGTCTCATGGCTCTGTGTCTGCTCTGAGAGCTAAACAGCAGCCTGCCCCGTGTTAGCATGCTAGCTCGTTACTAGCATGTTACCAGATCTTCATCACTTTCCTCCTGTGTGTGTGGCTCACCTGGTTCTGCTCCTCTTCCTCTTCTTTACTCCTCTTCAACGCTCTTTTCCCCGCCGCTTTCTTCATCGCTCCTCTCCGGTCGCTCCACGCGTTTCTATCCTCCTCGATTCAACCACGTGAAACCGAAGGTTAGAGGTCACGTGTCACAGCTCGAGGGCGGGGCCTGCTGGTGACGCCTTGAACTTCTGGCAGAACATCATAGTTACAGTGACACGACCTCTGCCGGGGAGTTTGCTCAGATATTTGAAGTCTACATTCTGGCCTGAAAATATCTTAATAGTTTATTTTGCGACCCAGAAAGAGTAATAAGAGTAATATTAAAAATGAGTTGCTGCAGTAGTAGTAGTAGTAGTTGGAAGCTGGAATTAGCTGGGCCAATCTGGGATATGGTTTTTCAATTTTGTTGTCCGGGTGGAAAATCGGGAGAAATTCGGTAGAATGGTGACACCGGGAGATTTTCGGGACGGGCACTGAAATTCGGGATTCTCCCGGAAAAATCGGGAGGGTTAGCTTGTATGACTACGTCCCGCTGGTTAGCCACCACCATTTTGTCCGTCTGTATCTGGAAGTCCCACAGGATCTTAGCTCAGTCATTCTCGACCACCTTAGCTGGCATCTCCCATTTTGACCTTGGGACTTCCAGGCCATTCCTCAGCACAGATGTTTCTGTATACTATACTCTATTGCCTGTCGTAGTGTGTGCTCGAAGTTAGGACTGGGCGATGTGAGGAAAATATGAGTAATATGACCCAGTATGCAAGTCTCCATATAGGCTTGCTCCGCTCCTTTTCCACCTCTTAGCTCATCAACCAAGGGACTAGAAGAACTGCCACCCAGGTAACTCAGAAAACAAATAAAGGCTAAATCATACACATAACAGTGTAAAGTAAAATATGTGTATTTATTTTAGAATACAGGATCACGTGATTGTATAAATAAATAAATTCTAAACCAAAACAATTCTTTACCTGTAAATTGAATCCTATGTTTAAAGAAAAGCAAAATATTAGTGTAGTTTTATGTATAAATCTCTATTGGAGCACTGTGATGTTTGGCAGATATTACCCAATATCTGTGGCTGTAACTGCAGCCATCACAACAACATCTGCAACCATGCAGCTGCACTGCTTTTAAAGTTGAGCTGTATGTGAGGATGGGAAGAACAGACACAGAAACCACATCCTCAAGAATGAACAATAAATTGACCTTCCCATAGAGATTAATAAAGTTATATTCTATTCTATTCTACATCAGTGACCCGCATGTAAAGGAAAGATGTGTCCGGGAGAGAAGCCAGCACCACTGAGTCAGATCAAAAATGATCACAATCAGATTATCCCCCCTCTTACTTAAACTTATGTCCTGTTCCTACACGCACTGATCTGCTGCTGTGTCCATCGCCTCCTTTTAAATCCAGTTTATCAGTTTTAATTCAGATGTGTCAGTCTGAGGGTGAACACAATCTCAATAAATATAAATAAAACCAGGT